CCTGGGAAACCCTGCACTGGGAAATCTGGATTGGGACGGAAGTCCCAGAGCCAGAAGCCTGTGAGGGTGGGAAAACAGACCCCGCGCTGACACCAGGATTAGTGAACTCAAGTGTCACTAATCCCCGTAGCCACAGACAATCCTGACAAAAAGTCTGTGGCCCCTGACCCTATACCCGAAGGCACAGTTCCGGAGTCAAAGCAGCCCCCACCAACGACGCCACCTGGCGTGCCGAGGTCCCTGAAGGAATCAGAGACCTCGACCGGAAGTCCCTTTCCGACGGTAACACCGCCACCTATCGAGAGCTACCGGCCAATTCGACCCTTGACTGCGCCGAGTCAGGGTCGGGCTGCCCCCCCCCTACTCCAGGACGCACCTGGACAGGGGGAGCCACCCCCTGCTGAAGGGCGGAGCTCGGTGGAATGAGAGCACCCCCAGCAGGAACGCTCTGGTTCAGAACTTCAGGAGGGAGGTCTTAAAAAGCTTACTTCCCTTACCGGAAGAAGAGGACGAATCCCTCTTCCGGCGGAAAGTTAGCTGGAAAGGCATGGGAGCCTAAGCAGCAGACTCCATGTGCAAACAAAGTTCACATAGTGAGGTCTGGCTGCAATGTCGGCAAATGGGACAGGTATCATGGGGTTCCCATTATCTATAGAAATAGGAACATCCATGCGCTGACCCCCGACGTAAACCCGGCACCTTTATCCAGCATCGAAACAATAAAAAATTGTAACAATGAAAACAAGGATAAAAAGTTTTCTAACAATCAAAAAACTACGAACGAGATCATAAAACCTACCGTACGCAGCAAGATTGTACTGCAAAAAAAAGAAAACGGTCGTACAAAACGGCCGACAAAGCAGCAAGAAAACAATTTCAACTTCACGAAAATCCGAGTGACGAGACAAGTAGTCACGCACTCGAACACGCGGAGGAAAAACACGGCCGGAAACGAAGTTCTCGAACAATCAAAAAACTACGAACGAGAGCACAAAGCCTACCGTACGCAGCAAGATTGCACTGCATAAATAAAACGGCCGTACAACACGGCCGACAAAGCAGCAAGAAAACAAATTCCAACTTCACGCAAATCCGAGCAACGAGACAAGTAGTCACGCACTCGAATACGTGGAGGAAAAAACGGCCGGAAATACGGTCAAAATAAACAAATGACAATACTTAATTTCACAATATAAGTTGGGAGATGGGTTTATAGACTACTAATAGAGTAACAATATACTCAAACGACAATGGCAGTACGAAGAGAAGGAGTAAGAAAAGCACTTAGCTCAGACACCTCCGCACTCGTCGGCAGCCATAAAGGTAAGAGGAAGGGAGATCACTCTGCGTTCCTGCCGTGATGGCTCATGGATCGTAGGGAGGGCGGGATTGTTTTTCTTTTGAATCTTTTGTTGTTGGGATACAAAGATGGGTGTAGGTACTGTATTTGCATACTAAAGTTATGGTAATTATTACTGAAATGAAAGTGAAATTTGCGATGAAGTATGATAATAAGCATGATGAAAAAGTACAATGTTCTTCCAGATGTTTTCTTGGTACAATATAACAAACAGTCATAACAACTTTCTGCAAAATCCACTTTCTGTTAATTCAGTTTCTGTGTACTCAATATTAAAATAAGTCCGTTATCACAATACTAATATTTGAAAAATGTTAAAGGCTGGGCTAGCGATTACACAGGCTTTATCAAGTTCCGAATCTGATATAAACGTTCCCTATCACTAGAAGGTAATCTAGAAGATTGAAATACTGAAGTATGGTTAGCTGTTTTTCGTTGTTGGAAAACTGATATATATCTAAATTTCTCTTGCTTATCAAGCCATCACACCTATGTTTGTTTGAACACTGATGTTTTCCTGACAAGGTTCAAGACAGTTATTATGTGCTTTGTCAGCGGGCACAAATACTTGTGTAGGTGTAATTAAACTGTTTCTCAGTGCTTTTGTATACCGACATAAGTTTGGTTTTCATTTGGATTTTAAATTCCTAAATAGATATAGGCTGATAGACCAAACGAATTTAATCCATTCTAAAAAATATGTCATATGCAGTATGTATTCGTTCCGTTTATTCTCTTACGTAGTCTATTAATGAATTAATAATAATATCGACCTTTCTTGGAAAACATAATAGATCGGTCCTTATTCGTAAGTTACTTTATAGAAATATCAACGATGGTTGACCGATAACACAAAACTGTACTGTACATCACTAATCTGTAAAGCAATGACAACCTTAGAACATGGAAAATTTACAGAGAAACATTTGAGAAGTCAGATTGAGGAATGAATCTATGTGTGAATCAAAGTCATATTAACGTTCTCAAAATGAGAACCGTGTTTATAATAGCATTGAATACATCTGACTTTATCTTGAAATTCATATCGCACAAAGAAATAGCATATTACTCAATTAGATCACGTAATGTCGACCATAAAAATCCACACTTCACCATCGTGAAAGCTTTCGAAACCTCGAAAACCTGCGTTTAAGTTTCTCCAGCAGTTGTCGACATTTATCACGGAAATATCGAATCTAGCCACACCAGTGAGGTTGACACAACACGAATACTATCTAGAAATGGCATATCCAGAGTAGGAGAATTGGAACCATCACACATATAACAGAACTCAGCATCCTCCATAATCTAGGGCTTACAATCAATTTCGCTCTCTGCACCTCTGGAACATGTCAAATTGAAGGCACAAGCGAAGTAATTTGATTCGTTCTACAAGAAAAAAACTGACCAATCACAGGCTGATACACTCCTTTTGAAGATTACAAAGGAACGACACCCAACTCCAAAGCCAGTATAACATACTGTTATGCGACCTCGGGATTCGTTTGATGTACATCAAATGATCAAACTATTCTTTTCGTGTTTTCAATGAGGTGTCGCACATGGACCCTTCAGTTTTGCAATGACATGTTCCTTGGTGTGCAGAGAGTGACAGTGGTCGTAACTTCTGGAGTATCCAGGATGACAACTTAGTGGAAACTATGTGTTTTAAGCCAAGCTCGCGCTAAGGCAGCTGACTTCGATTTCACGAACCTAAATGTTTCCTAGACCTAAAATCCTCAAAATCTGGGATCTGATTTAGCAAAAATCTGTAATAACCAGAAAGTAACCAATAAACGAGTGTTCTGTTGTATATAAAATACATTGGTACTCCAATAGATTTGTAGGGAAGGATACTGTAACATCTAATAAAAAAACACAGTCAGGATAAATTATACCAAAATGGGTCCAGTTAGCATTGCCAAGAGACTTCTTGTTCGAAGTCCTATTAAAAAATACCGAAAAAATTGACAATTTGGAGGTTACAGAATCCTGTGGTTCGAATGGTGGTACACTTCTAATTCACTTTTAAATGCTGAGCTGCATTGTGTCTTGTTTGTTATGATGAACGTTCTCATCAGGCGAAAACATTCCATTCAAAGTCTGGAATACGTTCTCCCGTAACTATAGACCCGGTTTCCAATTAAATACCATTCACCTGTGGTAGCTTTTTCATGATAAGTGTGTAAATAAGGATTTTTGGTAAGTAAAAATGAACGAAAGTTTGTTCAAGACGTCTCAAGTCTTAAATTTATAAGCTAAGTTAGACATTCTATTTAGACAATCTTTAACCTACTTTTCACCAGTCCTTAGTACATATTTTTAAAGTTCTACACATAAGTGGTATATCAATTTTTCCCAATATTTTTGATAGATTTCTTGTCTATATTTGAATGTTATACTTCTGTAACTATAAATGTTGTATTTAAGAGGCATTATCTTTTATATTTTTATTTTTGAAAAAGTGTCAGGATACAAAATATTGACTCATTACACTTTCTTCAGGGATAGAATAAAATTGCCAAGAGAAACATTGAAAAAAATTGGTACATTTCATACTTCCTGTTGAATTATTACTTCAAAATTTGACCACTGCCTTGATTGCACAAGATGGACAAGTTATACCATTGTACCTATTAAAATGTATCCTAGAATGATCGAGATCATCCATCCAAGCTATCTAAGAGTCAAATAGGTGATTCAAGACCTTTTGGCTCATAGATATTGTCATATCAATATATAGATAGATTAAACTCCTAGTCTCCCATCTTGATCAGTATCACTTCTTTTGTAAAAACTTTCTTGTCCTCCTCCAATAAATATTCAAGTTATATGAAAGTGATACATGAATCCCTTCTGATTCCATCTATTACCTGCAAGATTTTGTTCCTGGTGTTCATCAAAATATCATTAATGAAAGTAAATAACAAAAACACAAACATGCCATTTTCAAAGATACCAAATAGCAAAACTTCACAACAAACACAATGTTGCATTACGAGTTGTTTTTATTTTCATAAAAAAAGCTTGTTATAAAACCATAATTTCCTTTTTAACCTTTATTTGCATGTATTTTGCCTTAGAAATATTTTCCTACAATGTTGTACACATTTCATAAACAAGAACAGTGCACATCCTCATAATTACTTCTGAAATATTCAAATTAATAAAAATTATTATTAGATTATAAACGAATAAATTTTTAATTATAAATTATCACAATAACAGGCCTCAATGAGATTACCTGTTTAATTTACAGAATTTGAAGTTATGTAACAATTAAATGCATTATTACAGGACAGGCATTTGTCTATACATTAAGTGCTCACAGCTTACTTTACAATGACGATCAATTTCATTTTGTACAGAAATTTGCACAAGAAAAAAAGACAAGAAGTTATCAAGAGAACACAGTACACAAAGGCACAGACTGATTAGCAAATATGTTACGAACATGGACTGTATTTTGTGAAACAACAGACGTGTAACTAAAAGAATTTAAGTTTATCAAATGTACCCGATTACATTCAATGTATCGATAGAACCTGAACAGAAGAATTCAATATGCAGAAATATATATGTTGAATATATTATTCAATATACATTAAAAATGCATCGTCATTACATATTTCAATACAAGTTTCCATGAACCAAACCTTTTGTTTTCCATGTACCAAATCTATTTCCATGGTAACTGATACCTACAGTGACTTGCCTTGTAAATAACAGGCATCAGAAATTAAAATGTACAGATGTACAGCACCTCAAGGCAATGCTGCATGCCCACCGATAACCAGCATGTTATTCACTGCCATATGAATCATTACCATACAAAATGTATAAAAATAAAAGGAAAATTTGAAAAATAATATTGTTGAACTAAAGCTGAAAAAATGTATGATCCTAAATTAACATATCTTTAAAGTAAAAACTGAAACAGTTCTTGCCCAGAACACAGCAAGCCTTCATGTCCTATCCCTGGGGTAGGGTATGGGACAGTCATAAGCCTTGGGGAAAGGGCTGTTAAATCAGCATCTATACATTAAATGTACTGTCTGGGACAAAATGTATATAGTAACACTTGAGCTATGGATACTCAAATTTGACACTTCTCCATCTTTCCACATCGGCAGTATTACAGCATATTTGTCATTTTGATTTTTGGCGACTTCAACACTGCATCTGTGATTTACTTATCACTGGTGACACTATTTGTGCTGTTCTTTCTTATTTATTTCTGATTTTGCCATGAAACCAAAACCTTTCGTGGAATGTTGAATGAAAAATATACCCCATACAAGTAGTTGGAAAGACATCATAGAAGTGTTTATGGAACCAGCTACAACACATAATCATCCGTTACCCCTTTCATCACATAATAAATAACAACAGTAAAATGCATCCACACAAAACACTGCACAGGATGCAAGTATCGACAAAGACACATCGTGAATCAGACAGAACATATCCCATCAATACATGATTGTTTTAAAGTGTAAAGCTAAAAATGGTAAACAGGATTTCCATTAATGCATAATATTGATTGTGCAGTAGATTTCAGCACTTATAGATTAAAGCTGTTAAGTCCAAACACGAATAATTTTCAGCAGATTTTTTTTCCTACCAACAGTATCAATCTACAAGGGGTTCTCCGAAGATGATGACCTTTCTCAAAAATAATGTTTTGGGGGAAATTAGAAACAAATCAAAGCAGAATGTGAAGGAACTGGAGTAAATAATCCCCGTCATAGATTAGGATTTTCATATTAATCTACCATTAATTTACCATTTTCAAATAAGATATATAAATATTGAATTTCTGTAAATTTTGTAAAAATGCCAAAAACAAAATAGTCCTTTATTTTGCCATACAATACATCTGTAGGAAGATTACTTTGTATTTCTTTAAAAGCATGTTTTTTTTTATCCATCAATTTATTATCTTGAATTTTTCACTTATTTGTGTCACAAAATAATAAAAAAAAAATTAATAAGATATGAAGTCCGAATCTAAACTTGAATAATCTTTCCAGTGCTACAACCACTCTTGCAGTTGACCTTATTATCTAAGTCGAAAAATTATGGACACAGTAAGAAAAGGAAAACTAGATGGGATAGGATATACACATACATAAGATGCCTGAACACCTAATTAATCATATGAGGACAAGTGTAGGACAGAATCAACAAATATTTACATAGCCATGAGACAAACAATACTATCAATTCTACTGCTTCATTCAGCATGATCCCCCATACTAAGAGGTAATTTATTTCAGATTTCGAAACAAAAAAAATGATTAACTTTTTATTTGAGTATAGATATCATAAAAAAATAGCATTACTATATACCTTAAATGTTTATTTAATTGAAATTAAACGCTCTTATGCCAAATTTTATTTTAAATATCAAAGAGACAAATTTAATAAAAGATTATTCAAAGCAGTGTATCATGGAAAATGAGCCATTTGCTGACCCTGTCCTGAAGTATTGCATTGATCAAAGATCAGCACACTGTCGTCATATCTCTGCTGGGTCCTCACCAACAGAATCGGACAGGTAAATAGGTATGAAACATAATTCAAATACAGTTTAAGTACAATTAATCGTCTCAAGCTATAGCACTGTTATTGAAGTTACCTCCCTTTGTCCTGCAGTTTCACACAATTTGCATTGATTACCTACATGATTATCAAACATTGCTTTTCTTTAAAGATTTATGATGCATCTCATTTCTAATTCATTGTTTTATTAAGATCTGCAATTCTGAGTATTATTGGATAATTCATGCTTAATGCTAAAATTCTTTAAAAAAAGTAAATCAACCAGTTAACTTTGTAAAGACCTTTGCCTACGCAATTTTAATAATTTTTTCCAAAAATATATTAAATAATTCAAAATTTTATCATTTAACCAGTTATTGACAATAATATGAGAGATCTTAAGAATCTTTAATCCCAAAATCTGTTTTTGTCCTGTGATTATGAGAAAAAACAAAGAAAAAAACCCAATACATGCAAATCCAACATTACAAATATGGCACAGAAAGTGCAATATCAACTAACAATATAATTCATCTTCAAAAATTCAAAGAAAAAGTTTTGGAGTTATAATGATTAAAGCCAACATTTAAAGATAGTAACAAATTCTCAGAAACATTTTTAAAACCACTTTGCAATGCATGGTGTATCAACATGTAGCCTCAATTTGAAGTCATGCAGTTCTCATTTAGATACACCTTGGTGTTGAACATTCATTTCTGGTGTTGGATGTTGATATCTTTTTACTTGATTTCATATCATACTTTTAAATCACTTTGTGAAATAAAGTCCAAAACACACTCTTCAGCTTCCTTCACAAGTCAATTGTTAAAAAAAGGCTCTGCAGATGTTACACGACAAGTTTCATGCTGTATGCAGCAAATTGAATTTTTCCTTTTGCACTAAAAGCTCCAGATCAGCAGATTTCACAAAGCAAGATATGTCCTGATGATTTCAAGTTCGTATGCCATTCATATACTCTCGAGGATTTTTTACAAACACACTGAAGTTCTGACAAAGTTCAATATCACTTTTTATCAAGCCTTTGTGTTCATAATGGACTTGTTAAAAAAAGGAAGAATTTCATGAGAGAGTTTCATCTGTTGTTGGAAACCAATGACTCCAAATCTGTTTATAATCCCAAAAGTCTCCTTACTTAAAAGTGTTGGTCATGAAATACTCCACAAATGGCGAAGACTGGCCTCAATGATTCAATGAAATGATGATTATGATGATGACGATGATAAATGAAATGTGTTTAAATCTCTGAAACAGACCCTCCCCAGTGCACTTTATAACGTTTATGTCTCCACTGAACAACACCGTTTTTATGACTCCTCAGAGACAACCAAAAAGCAAGTGCTTCTCTTGTAATCCATGCGACGAAAAATTCAAATTTGGAAAAAGGCAGTGGTCCATTCTAAAAAAGAGAACACAGTATATTTGTAGAAAACAATCAATTTGGAACTTCAAAGTATGTTTTGTTTGTACTTAAACTGAATTATTTCTTCATAAAAAGTTAATCCATATTTAAATTCATAGAAATATGTAGCTGATTTTAAAATGAGTCCTTTTCACTAACCAATTTCAGGATGGCAATATTTCACACATAAAATACAATTATCTGATTCTTGCATTTATCATCAGATCAGAGAAATGAGAGTCAACAGCTATTTGTGAAAAAGGAAATTCCTTACCTCAACTGTCTTCAGGAGAAAATAGTCGCTAAGGAACCACATGAGTGTATGCAGGAGGAAGACGCCCATGGGGCTGACATTGAACAGAAAGTCCAAAGCCCAAGATATACACACACCCATCAACATACATTCAGACAAGGGCTCCAACACAATGAGATGAGGTAACATAGCTCCACGAAGCTGGGACCACCTGCAACAATATTTCATTCAATAATTCAACTATAATATGCATATTTACATTACATCTGGGACATGAAAACAAACTTATATTAATTTCTTTCCCAAAATGCAATGAAATCAATTTCTCTAAAACGTGAGAGTCCTAACTACAGAAATAACAAAAACATTGTTGGAAAAAGAAACAAAAAAAATGATATATTTGTGCATTACTGTACGATATCATACCTTATTAGGCGGTTGTGAAAGTGTTCCACACTGCAGTTGCCAGAGTTCTGTATTGCTGGTAGACTGCATAAAACTGCCTTGTATTTTCTACAATATCCAAGAAAAGCAGAAATCAAAATCATATTAAACAGTTGTATATAGATTGTGTATCTATTTCATCAAGTAAAATAAACAAACAGAATGTAAACACTTGTTTTGTAAAAAAAAAAATGATGTAAAATGATAAAATCAAAGATTCCAAAAGTAGTCTGTCCATTTGGTATAAAACTGTTCAACTTACTGTCTGACAATTTCTTGACAAATGAAGAAATCTTCTGCCAGGTACTTGGCAAAGGCTTGAAGACCTCCCACATTTTCTAAGAGTTCTTTACGAAACATGCAGCTCATGCCGGTGGAACAGTTTATCCCAACGGCATTAGCTCCAAGACTATTTCTGGCTTGGAATGTACCGAAATATACCTGAAAATGCAAGTGACACTATTACTGACGATCACAACAAAATGGAAATTAGGAAACACCCTCAATTTTTTTTTTTGATCAGTTAACTTGAATTTTTTATTACACTCACATTCATATTTCTATTATTTCTCACAAAAAGTCGCAGGCCGGGCTTATTACAGAATACTGAAATTGAATTTGTTGATGACTTTATTTAACAGCGAAAAAATTTGGGTAGGCTTATTACCCGTCATGGGATTACCACCAATTTTATACAGTAATAACATGTAATTTTAAGAAATAAATCAACACTTACTTGTTCATATACTGATGAAAATCCAAATTTTCTATGTGCTGTGTATGGCATCTGGAGAACAAGTCCAACATCTGATTTCATGAAGCTGACCATATTCATCAGGGTCTCAGGACGCACTGAAGAAAAGTAAGCCAGTTAACCAGATGCTTTCTATTTACATGGTGTATTACTAAACAGGAGTTATCTTCTGTGTTTATGATACTCTCTCACAACCAGCTTTGTAAAATTCAAACTGAATCACTTACAAGGATTTTAAGAAATGTTAAGAAACCTGAATTTTTTCGTAATGAGTGTTTAATAACCTTATACTTACTACTGATACCGCTGTCGGAGATAACAATCAAATCGTATTTTGCAGCTTCATACCCTCTAACCATATTATTTATTTTGCCATTTGGACCAACATATCTTAGACCTGCAAAATAAAATTTTCATTCATTAGTTTATGAAAGTCTCAGTGAAATGCTTTAGAGTTGCCAGTCTATAAGATGATAATCAAAAATGAGACAGAGATAGAAATACACGTCCTGTATTTGCCACACATGTAGCATATTCAATGCGAAAGTTGATCCTAACTACATCCAACGTAACACTCACCTATAAATAGTTTTGCGTCGATTTTTGGATACTTTTGTATTAAACTTTGAACCACCATAATAGCAGGATCATTTTCATCTTGGACAGAAAAAAGAAGTTCATACTGAAAATAACAAAAAAAGATTATGTTAAAACACATGTCACATACTTATCAATATAAGTAAATAAATCACAACAATTTTCCAAACATTTTTTTATGAATTATAAACATGTATCATTGACTTACAGCAGGGTACTGTTGATTGAAGAATGTTTCTAAATTTTTGTAGAGGTTAGGATCAACTCCTGTGAGAGGCTTCAGGATGGACACCCCATGGAGGTTCTCTGGGTCGGGCTGGGGCACAACGCGGTGCATAAGATATCGTCTGGAAGACAAACACAGTCAGTGTAACTACTTTATAATGGTTAAATTTTGCTAAAAGTTGATTATTTACATGTAAAATTGATAACAATTGTAGGTAATGTATGATATTAGTGTGTTGATCATTTTTTCCGTTTTGTTGGCTGGAAAATTCCCGATAAAGAAGTGATACAAAGACTTCTGCTTCTAATTAAAATATATTTATCATGTATATAAAACAGATGTACCGTATATATAATGACAATTAGAACAGAAATTCTGGTCTAGTTGTATTACCCAAAAGTTGGACAACCTTGTGATACATGTATAATGAATGTAAATTGATATCTTCATTAAAATTGTAGAAAATATAACATTAATTCACCAGTACATTTATAACAAATGGAAGTCAGATTAAATCTGTGTTCATTCATCATTCAAATAGTTTTGGTATAGTATATAATGCTTCCTTAAGAACTGTTAGTAAAGCATTTTAACAATATAGGACATTGGTAGGATTGTCTAACTGTTGGTATGGACTACCAGCCAATACACATTCCTGTCCCAATACTACCGACAGACACCTCGGATTTGATTACAATCTCTTATTTTAATGTACAATGTGACATACTGAAGATCAGGTATTCAGTATTCAATAGCCATTTGTAGTTGTACACCTACATGGTTTACAACTAAACATGTATTTACAGGTGTGATTAAAACCCGCTAAATGGCCGTGACCTTAAGTGTATTGATACAGTCATTAAATCAGGTCAGTTTCATGTATGAATGATATGGTAGCTATAGGTTTAGAGTAACACAAGTATACAATGTCATGCTTCAGTAAGTCGGTCATTCATTTACTATTTAGAGCAGACAATTTTTTTCACGACTATAACTACAGATAATTAAATTCCAATCAACATAAAATAAAAACCACAATTATAAGTTAGCTTCACAGAAAATAATGATTTTTAAACAATACATGTATTATCAAAGGATTGAAATAGATAATAATTTGGTCTGTTATTGGACATAGTATGTATAGAAAGCTATGTAGGATAACTTGTTTATCATTTCAAAGGAGAGCAAGAATTTTTAAAGCTAGTTTAAGATGATGTTTTTTAAATGCTGATAAAAATCTTTAAAATTTGTTTTGAAAAACTAATGTTTAAATGTTCAGTTTTGAAAGAAACATGACATATATATATATATATAATTGATCCTTTGAGTTTGAACTATACCTGGAAATCATACAAATTAAGCATTTCTTATTAATTTTTCCATCGTTAAATCTTCTGAATTCAAATTTTATCTGAATAAATAAAAAACGTAAATTAAATGTAGATATAAATATTCTAGTGTAACATCAACCATTGTTGTAACCATCTTCCTTTAAATCATAACTAAGGACTGTCTTTCCTAATGGAATCACCTTCAGTTGACTGAAACATATCTAAAACAACTAATAGTACTTTAAGCACAATTTTTGAAATGTCTAAATTTTCAATATGACTGAGAAAACATTGGTATGTGACAATGGCCTTCAGTTTTTGCTGCTATTTGGAGTGTTTCGTCTGTACCTATGAGTCTTACAACAATGTAAACAAAATGCTATGTTTATAAAATATCCACATGTCAAGTTCATCTAACTAGTTCAGAGTGAGCTCATTGTATAAATACCAGGTTACAATAAAATTCAGTATTGGATTGATCTACAACTACAAGGCAACAGTACAATTTAGTATTGGACACAAACTAGCTAAATCTGACACAATTTTAAAACAATACAATATAACCAAATTTCTTATTGTGGCCTGCAACTATCTTTCCGGGTAACAAAGCCACACATTTCTTTCCCTTCATCATGAGACAATTTTTAATCGTTGTAAACAGATGGCTACAGGTACTCAATAAGATAATCAGGGCAACAAGAAATGACATACATACAGATCTTCATTTTGTTATCAACAACATTGTTAAATGCTACTAAACTTTAACATAGATACATTCAGCAATTATGATATGAAATTTAATTTCTTTTTCTAAATCCAGCTGAAAACAGCTTTAAAAGCTGACAAATATCTATGCTTGATAACACATGCATACATGTACGAGACTTTATGATCAAATGAGAACACCTGTTCCTATAGCACATGATGTCCTGTAAATGTATGACTCATCACATGTGTGAATCACTGTCAATGTTCATACACGATTGTGTTGTGAATGAACTATAAAATTAAAAGGACATATGTTAAGGATCTTTTATATGTCAAACAATGAGATTCCACCTAATGGAGTAATGAACACAAACAATTACTAATTAAGGAGTTTTGCCTTTTTTGGATCACTGGCTTACAGTGCTGATATAAATCTGCAAAAATGCATGAAAACATTGATGGAATAGGTGCAGAATCTATTTATCAGTAAGAAGTTTTTTTAAAGCCTAATGAAGGTGTAGACAAATTTATGCTTTTAACAAGTCTGTGCACCTTAGATTATTTAACCCAGATATCTACCACTCATGAGATTTCAATATGTATGAAGTTTGGAATCGATGCACTAGCATAACAACTGCAGTTGTGAGAAGATCTATGTCTATGCATAAATAACCTAGATCTCCAAACAAATCAAAATGTGCATCCAAAACTGATGATGTGAAACTGTACGCTCCTCAGCTCACCAAAAGAGCCTTAGTAGTCACTGATGATGTCAGCCACCACAGAATATATTCACTCATGATCCAGCCATCATGCTGCAGATCTTATCCAAAAATATTGCAAATTAACAACACTTTGCTGTACCTGTCTACCTCTTAATAAAAGCAATGCATAGTAAACTCAAAGACTATCACCTCTAATATCCAACAATATTAAGTCCAATGCCTGGTAATTATGTCCTTCCATCCTTTAAGTTAAATTATCTTTTAATTATTTCTTTTGATATTAATTCTTTATATTGCAATAATTGCCATTCCATATTAGCGATCATAGCAGCCCTGTGACTTCATGAAACTAGATACCACTTACAATTACACCAGATTAGTGAGTTTTACCAAAAAGAGGATTAATAAAGGAAGATATTTTTAGACTTGCTGCCAATCCTAGCTAGACAAGTAAAGGGCTTAAAATGATACATGTTTGACAAACAGGAATTCAAAAGCTGCTCTGCATTGCTCGTTGAAAAGAAGTTGTGTTTGTTCATCTGTGAAGAGGACAGTAGATAAGGAAGTTCTTGTTAAAGTCATGTGACAACATATAGCTGTGTATGTAACTTAAGTTCCTTGAAAAGCGCACATACTACATGCCCATAAAGACTTGTGTATAACTGAAGCTGCAGATAACTGAGATTATTTTATAAAGCAATAATTTAGATATTTGTATTAGACATACTAGCAAATGTAGCTTGAAATTTCAGTATTTCTACTGTGTAAATAACTCAAGATTGTTTTTTTCATTCTTTATGAAGTATAGTGAAATTATTAAAAAATATCCAACATGGAAATATCTTAAATGCTAATATCTCATGATGTCAAGAGGAAATGCTTGAAATATGGATTTAAAGATGTACATGCCTTGCACAATTAACTGGATAAATGATCGTAAATATGTACTTGGATAAATCAACCTGTGTTATGATGATGTAGGGCAATGTATGCATGTCTAGTATGAATCAAGCGTGTAGTAAAATTAAATGTAAACATGACAGCACAGACATTTAGCACAGCTGTAGACAAATTAAATACACAGTTTGATAACTTGTGTTAACCCTATGCAAACCAGTCTGTGCGTCAATACATATAATATACATAATAAATTGGTTATCAATAACATGTGTCAGTTCACCAAAGGTGACAAATTTGATAAAAACTGTCAAGATAACGCTACAAATTTGAATGTTATAATACTATGATATATACCTTGATGTACTTTGTACAGGGATACATCAACAAAATTAAGATAAAATTAAAAGTAATTTCAAATTACTTCATTTAGTAACCCTGTTATTTAATTTGAAACAGTACGAACTGGAATTTAGCAAGTATAAATGTATAATAAAAAGTCCTATTGGGACAAATTAACTAATTGTTTTCATGGGTTGAAGTTGAAACTACTATGTATGGCGAGACTGACATCTTATTCACCAACAAGTATAGTTACGAACAGACAGAGAATACTGTAAAAACATATAAATGACAATAGAAAATCCCATATACATGTAATGTAACCTCAGACAACTGATGATAACTTATCATTTTGTTACGTCAGAAAGGTAAGAGCTACTGAAAGCTTCGATATTATAAATGTACTACCATCTATACCAGACATGCGAAGACCAAATCCAATCTTCAACTGAGATACAGTGGAGACAACCATTATAAATTATTTATTCTATCATCTACAATGTAAAATTGCCAGGAGCTAATGCCATGAATCAATGATAAATCAATATCCTGATTTTAAGAGGTTAGTAAATTTTAAAAACGTTAGAAAGAAAATAAACCCGGTACAGGTAAACACTCATCTTAGCGTAGTAAATGTGCAATGGACCATGCAAGATGGTTGTAGGTCATAAGCTTTTAAGGTGTGGATTCAGTGGGTTGTGTGGTTACTTTTTTGGGTGTTGGTATTTCTTTACTGTATTTCTCATACAACTATTCGGATTAAATGTAAGCATATCATTTGATTTTAATCATATGTAAATGTTCTGAAGACTTAAATGTGAAATAAGGTCTTTGCTACGGGTTTAGCGTTTCGACTTGTGCCGGTGTCCCCGCCCATAACGTTAACTTATCCCTGCATTCCGGTACCGATCGGGTTATCAATCGTACATAGTTGAAAGTAATAGAAATGCCTTTTTTCAGTAAATGCCATGACAACTGAAAGTTCAGTCGCTTGAAAAAGATCACAAACCGTATATCATTCCTACACATTTTACGATAGTTGACAGCTCATTCACACTCGGCAACTTCCCGGTCAGCAGTATGTCATACTGCTTGACGACTGTTGAATATTTCAGGATTAAAGCAAAACTATACTTACCCATAGAATAGGGCCACTATATGCATTAAAAGAACGAACAACCATCCTAGAATTACACCAATTGCGACGATAAATAAAATAGTTTCTGCTATAGACATCATAACATTGTGCCCTCGTTGGAGTTTTGCCTCGACTGAATCTAACAGGAACAAGTAATTTGTGACGTCACCAGTACATGCGCAATTCTGCGAGTAGTCGTTTTTTATGGTCCACAGTCGTGAAAGAGAGAGAAAATTAAATATATTATTTGGAAATATAAGCTCTACTGCATGATATATTTATGAAATATCATATTCTATATGATATTTCAACATTCATACTTAAAAGCTATATTTTATTTTAGATAAGCCTTGCAGTGAAAATGTATGCTCCCCGCCGTGGGTGTGTATCAAGAAGTGTATTGACAGCGGTCTCCAAGGCTCAGTTTTGATCAACAGAGACCCCATACATGCAGCTTCAACATTATATACAGGGGGCACATGCGTCATATCAAATACAAAGGTAAACAGGGGCAATATTTACAAATAAAAAACATAACTGCACATAGATATATAGATTAAAGGCTGATATTAAAATGATGATTAACTTTATATAGAAATGTTTTGTCAATGCAATGTCCATTCATGATTTTTTTAAATGCCAGAAAAATATTAGTAAGAACATGCCTTTGTTATGGTAAGGAATCCATTATATGGGCATATACAAGTTTTATTCGTGTGGTTAACAAGGTTGTCTTTCCAATTTTATACATGTATAGGTTATACAAAATAACTTTAAATAAAAGATAAGAGACCTATCGCATGCTTTGTTTTATTGAGATACCAGGCCACACTAGTATAAATCATCTCAACTTGAGATTTCCTCAAGTTGAGATTTTCCTCAGCTGATATCTCCTCAAAAACGGCTTGTATAAAATTTTCTCAAGGAACAGGAGGAAGGCATCGGCTAGGATGTCATGAAATTCCTTGAGGAATTTTCATACAAGATATTTTCAAGGAGATATTAGCTGAGGAAAATCTCGACTTGAAGAAATCTCAAGTTGAGATGTTTTATACAAGTGGGGCCTGGTATCATTTAATTCAGTCAACGACGACGACGACTACAATGATGATGATGCTGCTGCTGCTGATGATGATGAAACTGTCTACAAGAAAATATGTGATCTTTCAGAACACACGAAAGCTGTTATTTCAAGTGTACCAAGTGCAGTTGATATAAAAGATTGACCTAAACAGAGGAACCAAGGACAGTCCTGCCAATCTTTATATTAATATTTTAAAACTTTACACATACAAATACAATTTTGAAATGAAGACATTGTTTCATAAATGTCACTCTAGCTATTTACGCTCAGCCGCAATTTTGACCAGAAACAGTATTCTGCAATCCCTATATATCGTAATCGCTATAAGCGCTATCTGAATTGTTATAGGCAACTAAGTTGTCGAAAGAGAAATCGTTTTGCAGGGTTAGAAATTATTTACAAACATGTTGCAGAGTAAGAAGTATCGAAATAACTGCAAGTCAGTCCTGTTGCATCTTTTGAACCGCCCTCGGTATCACAGAAGTGTCCTCGATACTCTAGGGGTTACAATCACTTTCGCTCTCTGGTGAGAGCGAATCGTAACCCCATCAGTATCGAGAATGCTTTTGAATTGATCTCCTGATAGAAATAAAAATGTCAAAAAAAATCAAAAACGAACCCCCCCCCCCCCCCCCCAAAAAAAAAAAAGGTAAAATAACTAAAAACCTCTCAAACAAATATTCAAATCACATTTTTTATAAATCCACTGACAAGAAAATGTAAGCTTGACAAAATAGAAATTCGCACTAAAAGAGGCTAGTAAGGCAACTTGTTCTCCCAACTTCTACAGATAAACTACTGAAAGGAGGTTAGCTTGAAAGTTTTAAAACAAAGCTTTATTCTGTATATATATCCTTGTAAACACCAACAAACAATAAAACATAATGATATAAGAACATTTAAATGTTATAGAAACCAAAAACTTCAGTTAGGAGAGGATACTGGACATGATGCTACCCGTTGATGTACAATTGTATATCAGTGACTAGGTCAAACACAGTGTCCATAACAGTACCCGTCAGGTCATTTATGATACCTGTGATGTCAGTGACCAGTAAGACAGGTACTATCGGTCAGTGTATGTGTAAGATATATGGTTCTAATAGTAAATACCGAGCTTTCGTCATAACTCTTGAAATGTGTAATAAAGACATTTATACTGGTTACTGTGCACGGCACATAATGCTGTCCCTGCCCTGCCATCGAAACACTTTGATTCGCGTCGTCAGGACACTGACGTTCGTCGGTGAGACGATACCTGACTACTGGATCCGGAGGAGCCGTGGGGACAATACAACCAACCAACTATCGAAACACTTTGACCAGGACAAACAATTCAGAAACAACAGCAGCAGCAACAACAGAAAAAAAACTATGAACAAAAATATAAAGGAACACGTCTTACGAAATCAAAGTATTTAATCTAATACAATGAACTCAGAATAATTAAACAGATGTGGTTAAGTTTTCTCTTTGAAGAGAAGTATACCGATTGGTTGTTGTCATGCAAACCCAATACATTGTGCAAAACACTCGGTAACTTTTGAGTCATTTCTATTGGAAACCATACCCTATCTCCCGTAGCACGTACCGAAATATCGCTAAGCGTTCTTTTTTACATTCAGCAGTGCCGTGAATACTCATATATGTAATCGTCGCCGATTTAAAAAAGGTGCTACATTCGAAAGTTTTTCAGGGAGCTAGTTAACGTTCTTTCAACTATGTCCTAGTTCGGAAACTCTCCCGAGGCAGACGGAACGCAACTGTCATATCCGAAAAAACTGAACCATTGTTTTAACTATAGGCTCCTACAACGAAAACTGTACATTATTCCATCTGTATTCGCTCTAAACAATTGCTATACTTTCAACATATTATTACAAGTCTTTATGTGTTGCCACAGACCTGATTTAGGCTTTCACTGAAGCATGTAGTGTCGTTATAATAAGTGGTGAGATTTTTAAAGTTTCAAATTAAGCTGACAATTTTTACTGTAACGATTTCCATACATACCACACGGAATGTAGCGTAGAAAATGCAGTAACATCAAGATTTGTTAGCTTGATGTCTTTTATTTTTACCTATCAACTGATATAAATTTTCAATTAAGAAATATTCTGTTCTCGAAGAACACATGTTTAAATCTTTTTAGGTAAATGATTCTGAAAATTTCAGGTATTCACATGAACTTGATACACACCTGGGTTGGGCTATACTTTGTACTGATTCTTATCAGGATACAGCTCTAGAAAAGATGAACATTTTCAAGCGAAAAAAATATTTCGAAATTACAGATTTCTTGTAAGAGGCTGACAGAAACATGAGGACACATTGGGCTACGTTGTTGCAGATCAATTGTCTGATTCAGGTGGCATGATTTTTGATCAACTTTGATTATCAAGAATGGAAAAATATACGAATTCAATTTTCGTTTAAATGCAGTTAAGCTGACAAAACTTCCTGATCGAGCGATGATGGGGGTGGGTTTTCATCAGCAATACTGACGAATCACTGAGCCATTGTTTACACGCATCTACAGGTCATTGTGTGGTTCGCGGACTTTCTCACAATGAGAGACCATCCTTACCTTCACAGGTAAAATGAGATATAACTATAAATATAGCTATAGGGTCATAAATAGTGTCGTATATACCTACACATAGAAACTCGCAAGCATAATGGACATCGTTTTAAAAATTCAAGACATTGTCGGCTGTCAGCAAATGGGATTGATGATGTTTTTGTGTAAAACGGTGTTTAATCGTATTAGCAGTTCACATTGTAGGGGCCTCTTAAACTTATTTACAACACCATATAATATTTACACATGTATTGTATATGTAATTTCGAAATATTTACACATGTATTGTGTTTTGAATTTCGGCATTGCGAAAAGTCCCTGTAGTCATACGGATTGTGACGCCTCCAAAGAAAAAGATACAAATCATGAACATCGCAAATATAGTTTTAGAGTCAGTCTATTTTTTTCCAACGCATGTTGCAAAAGCGTCGTTTTCATTTCATGTGAGATACACGAATTTCGTCATGTATTTTCAATAGTAAACGAGCCTCTGCCCTTTTCGAGCAGTTTGGCCACAGCGGCGAGGATAATTGAATTCGCACTTTTCTGTAGTGACGTTTCAGACTTGGACGTAGCGTTTAGCGGTGGATGGTTATTTTCGCTATTTTGGAGCACTTTAGAGTGATCGCGAACATATAATCCGTAAAATAATGAGGTTCATGTGCATTCGATGTTGTTTTAAATCCAGACCGCGAAATTATTTTATCATTCAACAGTTTTATTCGAAAATCTTGAAAATTTTTACTCGTGAAAATTACCAGCCATACATTGTCTTGTGAACATCAAAGCATAGCACAAATTGATAACATCATCAATCTCGACTCATATTTCTTTGAATATTGCTGACAGCACGATGAATACTGTAGGTTTCTAAACATTGAATTAAAAGTTTATTACAGTTATTGTCCAAGTAAAGGGAAAATAATCAAAGATGGATCTGTTTCGCGGACAGGGATATATCAACCCTCGCGTAAGAGTTTGACCATCCTCGTCCGGGGGTTACGATCACTTTCGCTCACTGCACCTCTGGAACATATCATGGCAAAATTGAAGGCACAAGCAAAGTAATTTGATTGGTGCCAGGAAAAAAACTGACCTACCACAGTATGGTACGCTCCTTTAGAAGGTTACAAAGGAACGATACCCAACTTCAAAGCCTTTAAACCATACCGTTATGCGAACTCAAGATTCGTTTAATGTACATCAAAGGATCAAACTGGTCTTTTTGTCCTGTCCACAAGGTGTCACACATGAAACCTTCAGTTTGGCCATGACATACATGTTGCAGGGGTGCAGAAAGCGAACATGGTCGTGACCCCTATATAATCGAGGAAGGAGTTTGGCTAGTCAGCACTTGAAAATACAAACTCATATAAGATTCAATAATTCTGTGTTGACGCCACAGTAAGTATGCATTCTTTGAAAATAAATGTGAAGTTGTTGTCGACAATTTACAAGAACCAAGAGG